ACATACATTGAATCAAATATCATTTCTGAATCATTGATATTTCAGAACAATTTACCATAAAATGATATAAAATATAAATGAATATAAATGAATATAGAATGTGTATTTAATTTACTTTTTATTTTTTTTTAGGAGCAAAATAATAAAAATTAATTTATTTTATTGATTAAAAATATTTTACCTCTTTTTCTTTTTGTTATTTTTTATTTAGATTCATTATTTCTTTGCTTATTCTGGTTCCCAAAAGAAAATAATAAATATATAAAAGATAAATTTCAAGAAGAATATATCAATAAATGGAGAAATAAGAAAGTAATGAAATTTTAAAATGATTTGAAGATAAAATGACAAACTAAAATAAAACAATTAAAATATTGAAAAGAATTAATATTATAAGGAATATATTCAAATAAACAAAAAGCAAGAAATAATGGAATAATGAAAGCAATATGGACACATGAACCAAAATATACAATGTGTAATATTTGTAATAAAATATCAACATTAAATCATATCATTCTCATTTGTATAATCACTAAAAAAAATCACAGATGAATAAACATGATAAAATGAATATTTATGGATTTCTTTAAAGATTAAATAAGAAATATATACATATGAAGACAAGAAGAGAAAAAGAAGAAAATATAAAGAAATTAATAATAAGAAAAGAAGAATAGAGATCAAATACTTATGATTTTAAATCAAGAAATATAAATAAAAATGAAATTTCAATAAAAGACCAGACATTTATGTAAGATATTTAAAGAAAAGAGAAGCATTAATCATAGATATGACAATAATAAGAGATAAAAATATAAGTAAATTATTTACAAATAAAATATGTATATGAAATTACAAGAACATATTATAAAAATAGGAAGATTAATAAAAATAATAATCATCCCATTCGTAATAACAATAAGTTAATTGATAAATAAAGAAACAGTCAGATTATTAAGAAGTGAAAGAATTAAAATTGGATGTGAAATAATGATAAAAGATAATTTAATAACAAATATGGAAAATCTTATGAGATACTGAGGTAATCATTCTGGAGAATACAGAGATGTAGAAAAACCAGAATAAGCAGACTCTTTGGAAAATGAATGATGAGAAGAAATTCTCACCTGAACAATAGGTTAAAATTAATAAGCCTTTATTTAATATTTATTACCTCTATTATTTCTTTTTATATACACTCTTTTTATTATTAATATTCTCTATTTTATTCTATTAATATTTGTGATTTCATTATATCTGATTATTATTCATTTCTTTTATTATTATTAATTTAATGTTATTTATGTTCAATTCATTAATTAGATATTGATTTGATTGTGTTGATTCATATATAGTATTTTTAGTTATTTCACTTTTGTTGTTCATGTTCTATTATTTGTTTAAATATTTATGTATTATTTTTGTTTTTTAATTATTTCTAATACCATATAATGTTGAATTATATGAATAATTTTTGTATTTTCTTCTTTTGTATTTATCTTATGATTATTTATTTGTGTTTTTATATCATTCTCTATAATTTATTTTCTATTTTCTTTGATTAATATTGATTTCATCAGTTAATTATATGAATTATATTATTATTATTAATAAATGACTCATTGTTAAATTTAATTTATTATGACTCTTTTTATATATTTATTATGTTTATTTGAATATTTTATTTCATTATTTTTTATAGTTTTTTTTTTCATTCTTTCATCATTTAATATTATTTATTAAAACCATTATTTATTTCATTATGAATATAAGTATTAATAACATCTTTCATTTCTTTTATTATTGTAATTTTAGTTCAATTTATTTGTTTTGAATATTCTTATTATTTTTTTTTTCTTTAACTATTTCTTCTATTTTTGTATTCTATTTTCATATATCTTTATTATTCATTTTATCTTTATCATATCTTTTATTTCTTCTTTTTGTATTTCTTTATCATTTCTTATATTTTCTTCATTTCTTGGTTTACTTTCCATTATTCTATTTCTTTTATTTCTCATTCAACTTTCTTACATATCTTTAACACTTTCTTCTTTTCTCCTTTCTTCTTTTTATATTACAGTACTTCTTTTTATCTTACAATGTTTATTGCTTATATAATATTAATTTCATTTCTGTATAATAATCTTATTTTTTAATTGAATACATTGTTTATTTGATAATATCAAATATCATCATATTCTTTTATCAATACATTTAATATTTATTTCATCTCTTCTATTTCTTAATTTTTCTTAAATACTTTAAGGAAAGTATATCATTTTCCATCATCAATACTCATAAATATCATTTTTTTCATTGGTAAATAATATTTTAATCTTTCTTTCCATATTGACAATCATTATTTAGATAATTATTCAAATATAACTTGTTATAATTAATTTGTTGTGTTTAAATTATAGTAATTTGCTCTGTGCAACCAATAAAGAAAAAGAAATAAAAGAAAGAATTAAATAATAATAAAGAAGATAATAAATAAAAGAAAGAAATAAAAGATTTAAGAAGAAAAAGAATTTTAATAAAAAAGAAAAGAGAGAGAAAAGAAAATTTAAATCAATTAGAAATGATACAAGTATCCCAAGCAGATGGATTACACTCATATTCTTTTTTCATTTTAGTAATATCCATTAATATATCAGTAGAAGAAGGTCTTCCATCTTGTTCTTTAATGATACATTGTTTAATTAAATTAGTTAAAGACAAAGGAGTAGAAGCAGGAATAGTAGGTCTAAGATTTAAAGTAGCTGATTTTAAAATAATTTGAACATCTAATTTAATATCAGGGAATTCTTGATAAGGTCTTTGATATTTTTGATGAATTGTTCTATAAGTCATTTCCCATAAAATAATTCCATAACTAAAAATATCAGATTTATCAGTAAAAGGTTGACTAAAATAAATTTCAGGAGCACAATAAGCATAAGTACCACGTAATTTTTGTAAAGTATTTAAATTATCTGTACTATTAAATCTAGATAAACCAAAATCACATATTTTTAAAATTAAATGTTCTTGACCATTTTCATTTATTTTTGTTTGAACAAGAATATTTAATGATTTTAAATCTCTATGTAAAATATTTTTATTATGAAGATATTCTAATCCTTTAGCTATTTGTTCACTAAAATCAAATAATGTTTCAAATTTCATTTTTAAATCTCCTTTACTTAATACATCATATAAACTTCCTTTATCACAATATTCCATAACCATCATCATTTTTTGATGTTCATCTTGAAAAACTCCATAAAATTTTACTATATTTTTATGATCTAATTTACTTAAAACTCCAAATTCATGTTGAAATTCTTCAACTTCTTTTAATGATCCTGCTTTTAATGTTTTAACTGCAACATCTATTTTTCCTTCTAAAATTCCTTTAAATACTTTTCCTGATGTTCCTGTTCCAATTAATTCTGTATATTCTACTTTATATAAAAATTTAGAACTTGATATTATATTATTTATTAATTTTTCTCTTTCTTTTTCTTCTGATTCAATTTGTATTGTTTTATCACTTAATTTTGCTGGATCAATATCTTCTATTTTTTTAAATTCTTTCATTAATTCTCTTTGTCTTCCAATTGTTTTAATTCCTATTTTATCTAATTGTTTTGCTGTTATTTCTTTTAATTTCCATTTAAATAATCTATTATGAATAAATTTTTTAATTTCTTGTGTATCAACATTAATTCCTTTTAAATATTCAATAACTTCTTTAAAATATTTTACTGTATTTTGAAATGATTGATTTTTTGATTTACTAACAATAGATAATGGTGTTTCTCCTTTTTCATTTTTAATTTCTAATGATGCATTATTTTCTAATAATATTGAAATAAGATCTGTTCTTTCCATATACATTGCATAATGCATTGCTGTTGATCCATTTTTTGTTCTTGCATCAACTTCTGCTCCTGCTTTTAATAATAATTCTACTAAAATTAATCTAATACATTTATTAAATACTGCTTTATGTAATGGTGTTTCTCCAATTTTATTTTTTGCATTCATATTAGCTGATCTTTGTTGAAATAATGAAAATGCTTCTTCACAATTTGGATTTGAAAAATTTAAACAAAAATAATGAAGTGGTGTATTATCATCTTTATTTTTAACATTAACATCAATTCTTGGATCTTTTAATAATGTTAATAAAATATGTTCATTCGTTGATTTCATCGTTGCAATATGTAATGCTGTATTTTTCTCTTCTTTATCACACATATTTACATCTATTTTTGGTAATTCTAATGCTGACATAATTAACATTAAATCAGAATTATTTGTAGCAATTATTAATGCCCCTGCTTTCTTTAAAATAGCTTTATCTGCTTTACTATCTCTTTGTTGAAACAAAAACATTGATATTTTAAATATTGGTTTTTGTTCATCATCTTTATTAACTTCATTTTCAAATTCTAATTCTTTAACATGATTAGTATTATATGGTAATAATTCTGTCATTGAAATACTACATCTATAATGTTTTGCTGGTTGTTTCTTTTCTGCATCAGTAAATAAAAATTGAATTTCATGTTCTCCCATTGGAATTTTTCCTATTTCAATCTTATTATTTGGTGTCCCTGGAATAGGATTATCTTTTCTGTTTATTTTAATTTTCTTCTTTTCTTTTTCTACTGAAATAACCAACTACTTTGTTATTCTTCTTCTTTCTTTCTTTTCTTATTTCACAAACTGTAGCTTCTCCACTTGTATTTTCTCTAACAAATAAATGCTGTCCTTCAAGAACTATTCTTTAAATCTTTCTTTTTCTTTTCTATTTATTATAAACAAACCTTCTATTCTCAATAAATTCGTTTCTGATCCTCCTTTACTCATATTTTATTTATTTATCTTTAATAGTTTGACTTTTTTTTTTTCTTTCTCCTATCTTTCTATATTTTATTATTCTTTTTACTATTCTTTTTTTTTATATGAAAAAAAGATATTTAAAAATTTTATGATTTTATACCAAAAAAAAAGTAAAAAATAAAAATAATAAAAAATCAGTCAATTGAAGGATATTGTAACACTTTTAATGTTCTAAAGAACATATTAATTTCTTCTGTATTTTTTGAATGTGATTCAATATAAGGTTGAATATAAGTTTCGTAAGTAGTTTGCATAATATTAATCATTTGTAATGGACGTTCAAGGGCATTTGCATTAAGTACTTTTTCTAAAGAAATTCTTATGAATAAACTATTTATTTCATCATTTGATTTAAGTGAATCTGAATGAGTTTTTGATGTTCCTTGAAGTTCTTTAACACGTTCTTCTAATTCACCTAACAGCGTTATTGCAGGAGAGAATAAACCCATTCTTCTATGATATCTTGCATATTCAATTTGATTTAAGATATCTAATTTTTCAAATTTAAGGACTATAGCATTAATTGAAGGAACAGAATTCTTTTTATTAGCCAAACTTTGAAATGTTTTTTTATGATGGTCAATAGCATATTTTCTAACTATGTATAAGTCTTTAGTATTAGATTCAAGTGTAAATAAATTAGAATAACTTGACACTTTATCAAAAGTATCTGAAGTATCAGTGACAATACAATAGACATACATAAAATATTGAATTTCAATAAATTCTCTTAAAATAATTGCTATTTGACATATTTCATTTAATACAGACCATTCATTTAAATCACCCCATTTAATTTTATTTTCAAATGACTCAACTAATTTAAGAAGGTCTTTAGAAAATTCAGCGTTAAGCCCAGATCTATCAGCTCTTTCAGGAGTTAATTTGTTACATAATAAATGAATGTATTGTAAACAATCATCACCATTGATATAATCTTTTTCTCCTCCCATTTTTCTAAATGAACAAACGGCTAATAAATCATTTACCCTTCTCTTTTCTTCTTTGTTTTTACAAATTTTAATTGCAATTTCTCCATATCTTTTTAATGGATCAATCAAATTTAACATAAGTGCTAAATCAATTTTTAATTCACTTGCAAATCCAATTTCTGGATCTTTATTTTTTTGCATTTCTATTAAAATATCATTCATAATATTATGAAGTGATTCAGCACGATGTGGGAATTGTTCCATGCATTGTTTTAATCTTTCATTTTTTATTAAAGGTGCTAATAAATGATATTTTTCAATAGGGTTTTTAATAATAAATGTATATAATTGTGAAAGCAACTCTGGTTTATTATATTTAATAAAGTTTTCTTTTAAATATTTAACTGATTTACCATAAATTTTAATAAGACTTGGATCCCATAATGTTAAATTACCAATATCAATATTGTTTTCACAAATAACTTGAATCAAAACATGTTCCCCAAATTCTTTTCTTTCTTTATAAATTCTAGCGATATTATTTTCTGTTTCTTTTCCTTGAATATGAATTAAAGTAGAAATTAATGAAATAAATATATTTTCTGCTAATTTTTGATTTACTAATACTAATTCACTTAGTATATTATCAGGACTTAATTTTCTAATAAAAATACTAACTAATACACCAACCCATTTTTCTGTAAATTGATTGTTTGGTACTGATTTTTTTACAATTTCTGATAATAATGATTCAGGAGTTGTTTGGGTTAATTTAGATACAAATTTATCTATATATTTACTATTTGTACTTTTATTTTCCATACCACATGTTCTAATAGTTATATTTTCATCTTCTTTTAACATGTATTCTAAAAATTCAACTCTTTGACTTTCTACAACTGGACGTTTGGGTTTAGTAAAATAATTCCCCATATTTTTTAATAAAGACTCTTGTTCAATCCTTCTTCCACTTTTCAACATTGAAATAAATTCATTAACTAGTTGACCTTCACCACTAAGTTGTGTTTTAATTGAAGCTAAAGTTTCAAATAGATCAGTTCCTAATACCCAAATATAATTATCTTGCCCTTCTCTATCTACTTGATTCCAAATATCTAATATATCTTTTAATTTTTCACAAACAGGTTTTTGTGCCATTAAAGGTGATTCATTTGCTTCTTTTAATATTTTTTTAAACTCATCACCCATTTTTGCTTTAAATCCATTTATATAATCAATTTTCTTTTTTATTACATATTCTTTAACACAACTAAAACATCTTTTTGGAATTAATATTTCATTCAATATCTTTTGCATCTCTCCATGTTTTTTTGGATCAGTTAAATAACCACTCACCAATGGAACATATTGCTCTACTTCTTTTTCAGGTTCATTTTGTATACCATCAAAAACAATTTTAAAACCATCATATAATACTGGTGGTGTTGCTTTTGCAGAAGCAACTAAGAAATCTCTAAGCATTGAAATTTCTCTTGGACCACTAATTTTTGTTAATTCATCATAAGTTAAAATTGGTTCTTTGCTTTCACTTCCCCAAATTGTAAGTATTGATTCAATATTTTCAGACAATCTTTTAATTGCATTTTTTACTTGGTTTTGTGATTTATTTTTTGCTTGTGCTAATGAAAGTGCTTGTTCTTTAAAATTATTGACAACAACAGTTTTACATAATGGAAATAATGATTCATTGTCATTATTTTGTTGAAGACATTGTTTTAATATATTAACTAATACTGGTGCTTCGCTCAGTGGTTTTAACCCTTCTTTTTTTACTCTAAATCTTTCCCAATTAACTATTAATTCACTTAAATCAATACATTTAATAAGTTCTCTTTTAGTTCCAAAGTGTTGAATTGATCTAAGTATTGTTGGAACAAACAATTTACGTTGTTTGTAAAATACAAAGAAATATTTAACTGGAAATGTAAATGGAAGTAAATTTTCTTGATATGGTGAATTAATATGTCTTAAAATAATTTTACAAATATTTTGATGTTCTTGAAGTGAAGATTCAAACAAATGTTGAATTGTTTCAACTTCAATATTTCCAATACTAATAGAATTGAAATAAATTTCATTGATTGGTAAGGTTAATAAATCTTCTAAAATTGATTCTAATGAAATTCCACAAGTTGGAGTAAATACTAATAATTGTGCATGTAATTTTAAACAGGCATTGTGTAATGATGTTGGTGGATTTGATTTTTCTAATACAATGTTTCTTAATGAATCTAATAATTCTGGATAATTTTGAATAGTTTCAATAATAACATGTAATTGAGTTCCTTGTACTTCATCAAATAATGTTACATTATTATTATTTGGTATAACTGATAACATTTTTTTTAATTCATCAAGAACATTTCCTGTAAATTCTTTATGGTGAACTCTAATTAATGGAACAATAACATACTGAAGCGCATAAACTAATAATCTCCATTTACCATCTACAGCTTCATTAATTGCTCTCATTGTTAACAATAAATTTTTTACATCATTTGGAAAGTTCATAATAAAATAAAGCATTACAAAATGATATTTTTCTTGTTCACCTGTTTCTAATGTTGATAAAACTTGTCTTATTAATTCTGCATCATTTGTTTGATATTTCATAATATGAAGTAATAATTTGGTATATAACTTAGCATCAACGTCATTCATTTTAGATGTTGAGTATGAAAGAGAAATAATGGCATTACTCATTTCTTCTGTGAATTGACGTTGTTTAGAATATTTAACTAAAAATGATAAAAGAATAATTGGTCCTTGTTCTTTTTTCCACAATGAATCACTGTTATTTAATAATGGTTGAAATAAATAATCAAATAATTGTAAATCAGGAATTGATGCTAATAACTCAAGTAATGTTTTTGTATTTTTTTCATCACTTAAAATTGCAGAAACTGTTTGTTGTGGATCAATATTTAATACTCTTTTTAATGATGGAATAGATGATAATAAGTGTTCGTATTCTCCCAATTCTTTTAACTCATTTAAAACTGATGAAATTCCTTCTATTGAATATTTAAATTGAATAAATCCATTTAATTTATTTAAGAAAGAATGAATATTTTGTTTTTTATTCATTTCTGTTTTTAGTATATCCATTTCAGTAACTAAATGTTGTATTGTTTGTTGTTTAATTGTTTCATTTGTATGATTTAATAAGAAATCAAATAATTCAACATGTTGCCATACAGTACAGTTATTTTCATTAATATTCTCAATTAACTTTTCAATTAACTTTTCAATAATTTCTTTATCATTCTCCAATGATTTAATACAAACATTACAAAAATATGAAGCAATTTCATTGTCTTTACTTTTCATTGATTGAATAACAAATTTATAATAATCTTCTTTATTACAACAACTTTGAAATAGTAAATCAACTTTAATAATGTATTGTCTTGGTATTTTAACTGAATATAATTGATGTACCTTTTCTTTATATAATGAATTATCTTTATATGTTGACATTAAAAAATATAATGTTTGAATTTGGTATTTAATTATTTCATTATAATTTGGATTTTTTGGATCAATATTAAATAATAACAATAAGCTTGTTTCTGGATGTCCTATATTTGATTTAAAGAATTCTATAATATATTTTATTCCATGTGGACTATTTGATTGAACAACCGTTGAAAATAAATCATGTAACCATCTTGGTAAAGAATCATCAATTGTTTGAATAATAGAATCTAATGATGTTGGACTTAATAATACATCTAATATTCTCGTAATAGTTCCATTATGATATTCTCTTTGAGTAACATCAAATAAATAACGTACAGTTATATGACTATCAATAGATAACCAATCACTATATTTTAATGAATATTTATGAATAAACTCCAATGCATGAAGATCAAATCCAAGAGTTTGTTCATGTCTTGAAATTAATGAAATTAAATAAGAGATAGACTCTCTATTATTTTCTATTCCTCCATTTTCTGAAATCATTTGAATAAAATCATTACAAACAATAGTAAATCCCTCTTCATTTTTTCCAGCAATTTCAAAATAATGAATAAATCCTTCTACGTACTTCATCATATCATATTTAATTATATCTCTAATTTCTTTTAAATGGATACCATTAAGTTTTTCTTCATAACTTTGTTTTTCTAAAGTAATAAAATACATTGATATTAAATATGGATGACATTGTTGTTTAATAGCTTGTTTTAGAATAGGATACATTCCACATATTTTTTCTGGTTCTTTTTCTAATTTATTAATGTAATCTTCGTAATAAGGTTCTAAATCAAATGTAATTGTTATTTTATCCAATTGAATTGTAAATTGAATTTCTATTGGTTCTTTTTTTGGTGTATCACTTGGTAAAACTTCTAAAGCTGCTAATGAAGATATGAGAGCTGATTTAAAAGGTTCATCAACACAAAAAATCGATTGTTTAGGATTAATATTTTCATGTGTAGGAAAATCAGATAATTGTTTTGGAGGATTAGAAAGAATAGTTGCTAATGTTTTTTTAAGTAAATCAACAGATGGAATGTATTTATAAAGTAATGATGGTGGACATACAGTAGAAATAACTGATAAATATCTATAAGCAGCTGAACGTAAACTTTCTGGAGCTTTTTTAAGACAAATAATAGAAGAAGCGATTGGAAGTGAAATGAACATTAAAGAAACTAATTTGTCTGCAGGTAAAGGTAAACGTAAACAAGACTCTGCAATTTTTAATAATGGAGATGGTAAATGAATTAATTCATTTAAATCAGTTAATGAAGAAATATATTCAGATAAATAAAAGAATGGAACTTCACAATTTGGATTATTCATATAAATTTTTGTAAAAAGTTCTGCATTTTGTTCATTTAATGAAGAAACAATTTCTAAAGAATATAGAGAATATAAACCATCTAAAATAATAACATATGGTTCAACTTCTATTTGACTATCAATAGTAAGATATTGAACAATTTTTTTAAAACATTTTCCGACAATAAAAACAAATGTTTGTTGATACTCAGCAATAGAGAAATTAGAAATAGTATTTTTTTCTTTAAATAATGGATCAATATATGATTTAATTTTATAACATACTTTTTTAAAAAGAATTGCAATATCTCCAATATTTTTTCCTTTTTCAATATATTCATAAAATGTTGTAAATGTTTCTTCTGTAACATATTTATCAAAAAACAATAAGAAATCATCATATATTGATAATATTTTATTTGTTTCATTTGATTTAGTTTCAAATGCACGTTTTAATAAATATCTAACACTTTTTTTAACAATATAAATTTGTTTAATACTATCAGGTTTATTATTTGATTGAATTTTTGATAATATTCTTTTCATTGTATCAGTTAGTGAAGGAATATTAAGTCCTAATTTATTATATGTTTGTTTTTCATCATCACTATTACACATAATTGTATAATGAACACATTGTTTAAAAAATTCATATATTAATTGATCCATTAAACCATCTTCATTTTGAAATGTTTCTGTTACAGTAAGTAACATATCAACCATTGGTTTTAAAAATTCAAATGCATTTTCAATAATTCTTGGTGTATTTCTCGATGTTGTATTCCAAAAGAAATGTTTAATATTTTCTGATGGATTAGGAAGGAATATAATAAGTTTAGTAATAACGGTAAAATGTCTCATTAATAATGTAAATTGTTTAATTGTAAAAGCTGATTGTCTTTTAACTTCTGAAGAAACATTTTTATTAGGACAAATATTATCAAATACTTGTTTAATAAATTTAATTGCATGAATCATATTATGAATACCTAATCTATGTGATGTTATTATTCTCCATGAAACATTAAATAAATTAATAATTGCACTAGTTGTAAGTGCTTTTGGATATGACTTAGCAATCATTTCCAATACTTTATTAAATACAACTAATAATCTTGAATTAGGTTGAATGTCAATATTTTTTAATGACTCTTCTGCTTTTTCTAATATTGAACCAATTTCAATAAGTGTATTTACTCCATCTTGAAATAAATCTCTTGGAAGAGTAAATGAATCATTTGCTAAACAAAGAAATCTTTGATGAACACTACTAACCATTTCTGAACGACTTTCATTTTTTGAATTTGCTCTAATATAAATCAATGCAAATTTACAAAACGCTTGATATAACTGAATAAGAATTTTAAAATTATTTGTTGAAAGAAGAAGAAGTGGATTTTTAAAGACCAACACAGTTGATTCAATAACATCTGAAAATGTTTGCAATAATGAAGGATTTTGATCTACAATAGTACAAATAAGTTTTGACATTTCAAATAGTACATCTGCTTTATATGGATATAAAACCATACGATAAAATGTTTCTTGATTTGGAATATTATTAATTTCTTTACCAACATAATTATTTAATTTATTAATAATAAGTGTTGTTAATGTTTTTTCAATATCTAATGTTTTAATTTGTTCTGGAAAAAGTGATACAATTTCATTAATAAGTGAAACAGTTACTAACTCTACTCTTTCTTTTCCACATTCAAACATATGAGTTGCAATTGTTATAATTTTATCTAACCTATCTTTAGATAATATTTTATATAAGAAATTAAATAACTTTTCTACACAATTATTTCTCCAATGTTGATCTTTTAATGGACATTCTTCAAAAAATAAAATTCCATTAAATATATATGGATAAATAGATTTGGCAAATTCAGCTGGTATCTCATTTTCTGTATAAAATACCATTTCTAGTTTATCAATTATTAATGAAACTTTATCCATTTGGATTTCATTCTTTTTTATTTCTTCTGGTGTTTTTCCTGTAAAGTTTTCTTTAGTAATTGTTTCAAGAATTTCACTTTGTAGTTGCCTTAATGATTGTGGAATCATTTCTACTTTTTTTAGTTTTTTTTTAATAGAAAAAACACAAAAATATTTATTAAAAATAATGTTTTTTTTTTTAATTTTTATTATTCATTTTAAAAAACGATAACAATAACTCTTTTTATAATAACAATATATTTCTCATTGTTTTTTTTGTATTTTATAACTTTTTTTTAAATTATCCCATTTTTTTAAATGAAATAGAAGATAGATTATGCTAGTTTTATTATTTTGAACTTCTCTTATCTATAACTATTCTTTTTTTTGACTATTCTAATACAATAACGTATGTTCTTATAATCTAGTAAAAAGAAGAAAAAAGAATTCAAAATAGTTTTACGTTAATGAAGTCAATTAAAAGGATATGTCCTGACAAAAAAATTAAATCATCAAAAACAAAAAAGAGTTACTTGTAAAAATAATAAGAAAAGTTATAATGAACTTAGAATGAGTCATATCGTCCATGCAAGAGACTAAAGATGTAAAAACTCCTAAAGGATTAACAAAAGATAAACAAAGAGTCCGTTATAAAGAGTACCAATGTACATACCCTGGATGTAACGAAGGATTAAAAACTAAATATAATTGTATTTCACATATTTGGGATATTCATTTAAGATATCTTAATGGATCAAAAGAGTCATTTAAATCAATTGAAAATAAAGAAGAAATTAAAAAATTGTGTATTCCTTTTCTTAAGTATATTACAAATGCAGAAACTGAAAGAAAAAGAAGGCCTTATGACATGGGTGATTTAACTAATGGAGATATTGCAGAACAACAAACAATGATTACTCCAACCCCTTCAGTTATTCCACAATTTGTTATTAATAATAATATTACTCCTCCTCAAAGCATTTCACCTCAAACATTAAGTGGTATTTCACCAGATTTTATTATGACAACAAGTCCAAATCAAATATTAAAAAGTGATCCAACTTCTCAACAAAATTCAAGTTCAATGGAAAGTAATAGAACAATGACTATGTATACTACAAATCCAATTGGAGCAGATGAAATCAATTATATTTTAACTCCTGAAATGCAACAACAAATTCAAACTGCACAAACAATAAATCCAAATATTAATCAAACGACTCAAATTCCACAACAAATTAGTTTAAATCCGATTGCTTATCAATTATTAACAAATAATGAAGAATTCATTAGAGTTTATATGATTAATCAAAATATTAAACGTCTTCATGTTGCTGGTGAAGTATTTGCTGAAAATGGATTTTTACAACGTTCAGATAGAAGAAGTAAAAAAGATGTTAAGAAAATTTCTGATGCACTTAATACTATATTAATGGTTACTGGTAAGTCATATAAATATTTGAATGATGATAAAACTCGATTTGGTTTTATTGCACAAGAATTAAAAGAAGTCATTCCTGAGGCTGTTAGAGAAGATGAAGATGGATCACTATCTATTGACCCATTAGCTTTATTACCATTTATTGTTGAATCATTAAAACAACTTGCATTTCAATTAAATAATCTTGAACATAAAACAGTAAATAGTAAACAATTTTGTAACAATGTTAACCATACTTTAGATGTTATTAACCAAGTGAAAAACAAAAAAGAATCAAATATCTCTTTAGGTCCAACTGAGTTTGTATTTCCAACAGCAATGTTCTTTACTATTACTTCATTTTATATATCGTTAGATGGAAGATTCCCATTTATATGGGCATATTCTGCATTATTAGCAACTTGTTATTGGATTTCAAATAGACTATGTTCAAATGGAAGCTGGAATGATATTTCAGTTAGTCTTAATTTTGCATTAATAAACCTTGGACTAGTGTCTGTAGCAGTAACTTTTCTTATGGGTTCTGCACTTCAAATATTCCTTGGTGTATATATTTGTGTAATGTTATTTGTTTGGGGTGGAAGCCAAACTATTAAAGCTTCATTTGTAAACTTTTTTATTGTATCATTTGCACTCTCATGTATTGCATGTTGGATTGTATTTATTTACCAACCAACATTTAAACCAAAAGTATCTACATTAATGCAAAGAAGTCCAGACCTTCCTGACTATGTTCAATTTACAGATCCTAAACAAGTACAATTCCAATTAACATCAGAAGTTCCTTGGAATTGTTTAGATCCTCATCTAGTTGCTAAAGGAAGAAGAATGCAATTTAAACGAGGAGATACTCCTTTGATTACCTATGCTGAAAATGCTGAAGAGGCAAGGGGGGATAAAGTTCAAGTTAAACTTTCATGTTCATCAATAGAGTACCAGTGCGATGAATTTAACGTTGCACAAGATCACCAAAATGTATGTCTATTTGTAGAAGACAATGACTAAAACGAATCAAAACGAATTAAATAATATATATTTCAAGTCATTAATTTACATTATTTTCTAATGCTAAATAAAATAGTTTTAATTTTATAATAAGTCATAAAATAGTTATATAAAAACCCTTGAAATAAAACTTAAAAATACATTTCAATTTTAGGTTATGGAATCATTTGTTGTAACTAAAACAGGACATCACATGGATATTCCCGATGGTTCATATGTTAAGTTATTAAATTTCGCTTATAAAGGAAATAAACCATCAAGTGTTGTTTTAAAAGTTTATAATGAAAAAGAAGAGGAATTAAGAGCCATCTTATGTACACTTACTCCAGAAAATCCTCAATATTTTGCTGAGATTATTGTAGCAGGTCCATCTGCTGATTTTGAATTAATTGGGGATGATGAAATTACTGTTTATATGGATATTGACTTTGATGATATAACAAAGTTTGAAGATGATGATGACGATGATATGACATTTAGTGATATGGAAGATAGTGATGATGAAGAGGAAGAAGAAGAACCTCCAAAGAAAGAAGCTCTTAAAAAAGAGGAAAAGAAACCTCAACCACCAAAACAAGAAAAGAAGTCCCAACCAAAGAAAGAAGTTAAACAACAACCAAAGAAGGAAATTAAACAACAACCAAAAAAAGAAATTAAACAACAACCAAAAAAAGAAAGTAAGCCTCAACCACCAAAGAAACAATTCCAAGAAAATGAAAATAAAAAGAAGAATAAAAAACATGGAAAAAAATAACACTAAATCTGAATGACAATTGACTCAATTTTTTTCTGTTAAATTTTTTTTGTACAATTATGAAGAAATATTTAAATAACAAAAAGTTTAGTAAGAATATAAAAAACAAACAATGAATTATTTTATAAAAATATATTTAACTAATATAAAATTCTTATTTATAATTATTAAAAATAATTTTTTGACTGATTTTTATACAATTAAATAATAATAAACTGAACAAAAATATTTAGAAATATTATTTTGTATATAAGTTATATTATTTCTAAAGAACATTAAATAATGATTAGAAAAAGAATGATATAAATATCTAAAAAGAAGTGTTCTTAGATATCTATCACAAAAAAAAATATTATTTTCATAAATTTAATATTCAACAATAACAGTACTGTTGTTTTGAAATAAATCAACTATTTATTATTTTTAATATTATAATGAAGAATTTAGTAAAATTTATTATAATAAAGTTATAAAAGAGTATGATGTAATACTATAATAATAGAAAAAAACAAGTATTAAGAATAGGGACCGTCATAGTATTTTAATG